CCAAGTTGGCAATCGGAATTCCGGGAAGGAGAGGGGTTTGGGAAGGGACTGCGGGGCTGGGAGGGGCTGGAATTCGGGAATTCCGGCGGCAGCATTCCCGTTTTTCCGCGGCAGGTACTGCACGGAGGGGAAGCGAACGTTCAGCAGCCGCCTGATCCTGGAGAAGCACATCCAGGTGCGCCACGGCCTCTCCGGAGCCGACGGCCGCGGCCTCGAGCTGCCCGCGGCCCGCGGAGCCGCCGGCGCCCAGGTACCGGCACTGCCCCGGGGATTCCGGCACTTCCCGGGGATTCCGGCACTTCCCGGGGATTCCGGCACTTCCCGGGGATTCCGGCACTTCCCGGGGATTCCGGCACTTCCCGGGAATTCCGGGGGGTTCCCGGGGCATTTCCTGGGGGTTTCTGGGGGTTTTGTGGGGGATTCTGGGAATTCCGGGGGGTTCCCGGGGATTTCTGGGGGTTTCCTGGGAATTCTGGGGGGGTTCCTGGGAATTTCCTGGGAATTCCAGGGGGTTCCTGGGAATTGTGGGGATTTCTGGGGATTTGGAGGGTTTTCTGGGAATTTCCTGGGAATTCCAGGGCTTTCCTGGGGGTTTCTTGGGATTCTGGGGGGTTCTTGGGGGTTTCCTGGGATTTTTGGGAATTCTGGGGGGTTCCTGGGGTTTCCTGGGAATTCTGAGGGGTTCTGGGTGTTCCCTGGGTGTTTCCCATGTTTTCCTGTGAATTCCTGGTGTTTCCTGGGATTTCCTTTGTTTTCCTGTGAATTCCTGGTGTTTCCTGGGCGTTTCCTGGGTGTTTCCTGGGTGTTTCCTGTGAATTCCTGGTGTTCCCTGGGTGTTTGCTGGGTGTTTTCCCGTGAATTCCAGGGGGTTCCTGGGTGTTTCCTGGGTGTTCCCTGGGTGTTTTCCCGTGAATTCCCGGCGTTTCCTCCCATTCCCTCCTTCCCTCCTTCCTTCATTCCCTCCTTCCCTCATTCCCTCCTCCCCTCATTCCCTCATTCCCTCCTTCCCTCCTTCCCTCATTCCCTCATTCCCTCATTCCCTCCTTCCCTCATTCCCTCATTCCCTCATTCCCTCATTCCCTCATTCCCTCATTCCCTCATTCCCTC